CACTAGTACTATAACAAATTAACATACTTTTCATCACCCCTCAACCATGTAGATTTTTAGATATTTACCTCTGAAGCAGACACATGTAAATACGTAAGCCAAGTCGGATGCACATTTGCAGACTACGTTACGCATTTGATCTCCAGTGCTAGTCTAACTGTGACAGGCAGTCACCAACAAGGCAAGCAATTTACAAGCCTAACTCAAAGTAAATGTAAACTACATTACAGATTTAGCTTATGTGTGAGTTTATAAATGCTAGGGTTGTGATAATCAGGCTCATGCCTTCTACCTTAAAAATTAGGGGGGTGTCAAAATACGAAACTATCCAGTGAGACCAAATGGTTATGGGAGTACCTTATGTGTACTGAGAGCAGTGATAAAAGTTGTCAAATATGACTTAACTTTATCAGGTGAAAGAAAGTGCATGAGATTTAAAAATTTAAAAAAACACTCAGAAGACGGACTGGATATTTGACTAAAACAAGGTAAACTATTTAAAGAAAACGCATGCCATATTGGAACGATATCTATCTGAAGTGAAGGTACATGATTAGGCCACCCTGCGTAATAAATATTTTGCTTCCCTAATTGAAAGCAACATCTATAAAAACAAATTAAAATTTTACTTTTTTGCACACGATTTATGTACATCATTCATTTTTTGTCTTCGAAATCGACAAAAAAGCCAATTAAAAATTCAGAAAAACGATTTTCCAGACAGAGGAAACTCGGTATATGTACATTTAAATCAACCTGTACTAAAATATGGTCCTAAAATAAGCAATAGAAAAGGGCGAGAACCTGCACGAATTTTATAAAAATCAACAAATATTTTATTTCCTTTGAAAGTGAAAATTAAAAAATTATAATATTATGAATTAAATCACAAATAGTCCTAAAAGTTTGATCACAAGTCAAAATGTATAAAATTCCATCTGAATTATAGTGTTATTCCAAAAAAGTTCCAATAATGAATGTAGTAATGTGCCTGAAGTCTCAATTATGCTAATGTAACAGTGGCCTGGATTGTGGCAACGTGTTAAGAGTCTTGTGATATATCACAATAATAAATGTTCTTCTCTGAATTCACAATTATTTTAAATTAATGTTTCCCTTTGAGAATATTATTGATGAGCACTTTGTATGTCCAGTGAATGATGATTGGAAAAAATAATTTTACCCAAATGAAAAATTGAGCACAACAATAAGATTTGAATCTGCTGTTAACGAAATAATAAGTAATTTCTTAAGTAAATAACATTTTTTAAAAAGCTAAGACACAAAGAACCAAGATGAGGGTCAAACTTTCATTTATTGAACATTCTAAGTTGTCACAAGACAAAGTCTACTACTAAAATTATAAAAGAGAACAGGGCAAAAATCAGGTACACTAAATTTTCACATGGGGAATTTAATAATGATCATGTTTAATATATACTCAAAAAAATAATAGCTATGTATTATGTTGTTCACAAAATCAATGTTCCTAGTCAGGCATGCAGTTAACTTGATTTTGGACATGGTCAAGTTCAAAATGCAAATATATATAATAATATATAATCATTAAAAAACTAACAAAATAATGCATATTAAATATAAATACCAATATCAAGTTCTACTTTTAACAAAACTTGTAAAATTTGAATTTTGGTTTGTGGTGGGTGAGGTAGTTATTCAATCCCAAATATACACTTGTATCTCTCAAACATTTGTTAAATACCAGGGAATGTGTTTTTTAATCATACCATTTTGTCGATTCCGTCTAAAATATTGAATTGTTCCCCCAAGAAATTCAAATAAATAGATGAAACCATTTTTTTTTTCTGCAACAGATTTATTGATACGGATTCTATAATCACCATAGTAAATTAACTTCATTATCATGCCGTCAATTTCCGAACACGGATTGGATAGTGAATAATTGTAATGACAGGCAGCAGAAAAGGTCATATGCTGAATTTAGAATAGGGTTTATATTTCTCGATGATATATGCTAAGTGAAAATTGACATGAATGGGATCGTATGTTTGAATATAATTTAGTAAGGAAAATTTGGTTGATTTGAATTTGAGTGTGGGAGTGGAGGATATCGACCTCAGAAAATGTTACAGACTAAATGATCTGTGTGTATGTGTATGTGTGTGCAAAGGATTTCATGAACATGATCTGTGCGTATGTGTGTGCAAAGGATTTCATGAACATGATCTGTGTGTATGTGTGTGCAAAGGATTTCATGAACATGATCTGTGTGTATGTGTGTGCAATGGATTTCATGAACATGATCTGTGTGTATGTGTGTGCAAAGGATTTCATGAACATGATCTGTGTGTATGTGTGTGCAAAGGATTTCATGAACATGATCTGTGCGTATGTGTGTGCAAAGGATTTCATGAACATGTATGCTCCTCTCATGATCTGAACTCTGCAACGTAAAATCAAGACTCGCTGCACACGCTCGAGAGAATGCGCAAACTTTCGGGTAATTGACTTTCAGAGACAATATCTGATGACGATTGCATTTTTCTCTCATATACTGTTAATCACAATGCCACAAAAAATCAAAGAAATAACGACATTCAATTTCCAATTTCATAAGACTTCGTGTCTGTTTGATTAATGTTCCCATTTTAAAACTAAACTAAAATTTGCTTTGACCATAAATTCACCACAAAATACAACAATACAGCAAGATGTGCAGAAGATGTTCCTGTGTACGATTTTATTAAATAAAAGATGGCCACAAAATACCACATGATGACTACAAGATATGGCAAGATACCACAAGATGTATTTTTGTATCCTGTTATTTAATAAACGATGACTACAGAATACCACAAGATCATTACAAGATATGACAACATAACGCATGATGAGTTAGTGAATGTTTTTACAGCTACAAGAGACCACGGGATACCAAAAGATGACCACAAGCCGTGTTTCTATATAATTTTAATTAACTACAAGATACAAGATTCCTGAAAATTATGACAGGATATCACAAGATGTATTCCTGTAATGCAAAAGATACACAAATCGGCAGTGCCAATCAATCGATTAAGCAACAGTGAGATATCATAAAGCTTTGAATGCATCTTGCATGCACATCGATTGTGGACTTAATTTGGAAAAATCGTACAAAATTATGAAATCGAAAACGAATAGGCTTTCAAGATAGACGTGTGAATCGACTGGCGTATACACACACACACACACACACACACACACACACACACACACACATTGTATTGTCATATTACAAACTAAGCAGTTAAATAAAGCAACTTGTTCATACACGAACAATTCCTGTGATATCTTATGGTGAACTGATGTACAGAGTTTTGCTTGACTTATACAATAACATAAAAGCTATGACAAAAATTAAAATTTTCAAAGTTACAACTTTGCATAATGCAAGAAAAATTGCATAGTAAAGTCTGGAGTTATTTAAACTTAATATGATTGTACATGACAGCAATTTGACCTGTCTTGGCAGCAGTACAACTCGACCCGAAATTAACGCTAATCCGCAAATCCAATATAACTTAATTAGCCAAAGGTTTATTCAAAACCTCAGCCGTCAGAAATCCGTTGGATCAGCACAAATCAGCCAGTCATAATTATAAGTTAACAGGTGAACGTGGGGTAGATGTATATCTCAAAACAGGTCAATAGTGCCATTTCGTTTATAATTCGTGGGTTTATGTTATTAATTAATAGCTGCAAAGACCTTGCACTTGATGGGGTACCATGAATGATAGAGGCTGAAATGGCTGTGTTCTTCCATAAATCAAACATTTTAAACTTATGAATATAATACTTTCATAGACTGTGACCGCACGTATAAAAGAGTCCACCTTTATTAAAAGAAATCCTTAATGTGAGGTGACAGCACCTATCAATGAGTCCACTTTTATTAAGAGAATACTTTAATGTGATGTGACAACAACTATGAAGAAGTTCGCTTTTATTAAAAGAGTACCTCAATGTGAGGTGAAAGCACCTGTGAGGGAGTCCACCTTTATTAATAGAATACCTTCAGATACGCCAATCGCACTCACTAAGGATACCACTTTTATTGATAGAATACCTTCATATAAGGCGACGGCACTTATCAAGGAATCCACTTTCACTGACATAATATTTCGATGTAAGGTGGCATAAGCTTAAAAGAGGTCCACTTTTATCAATAGAAAATCTTCATATAAGGCGAGAAGGAGAACACTTTGTTAATATAATACTTCAATATAAGACTACAGAACCTATAAAGGAGTAAACTTTCATTAATAGAATACGTTCGTACAAAAGGACAGTACCTATCAAGGAGTCCACTATAGTCCGATGTTACATCCCCGTTTTGTTTGTATCCCCCACTCTACTGATTTCAATAACTAAAAAGTTTAATGTGATAAAATGTGCATAGAACTAAGACACATGAATCATTGATTTATAATTTCTAACCTGACTGAGACCAGAATGGCACTAACACTGGCCTCCCATTGCACCTTTCATGCTTAACATACTTTCCATACTAACAAGGCGCCATATTCCGTCCACTACGGAGTAGTTTATTTCTATCCGACAACATAAAGACATAATTCATCCTATTCAGGTAACTGCCGGATAATTCTTATATCCTTTATACTGATAACCATTTTTAACACAGATGCAACAACCACATGGACTAATGTTTAGTGCTCTATAACAAATCATAGGTTTCCTGCTAAAGCTGGAGGTTTCTGTATGATTATATATCTGAAGGAGTGATAATTGGATTTTAACCTAGCTTTAACAATTTTTCAGTCATATCGCTACGATGCCTGCAGTGTGGCAATTTATAATGATATCTACAACTGGGGAATCATGCCGTAGACATGTGGCATCATGTCCCACCCAGTCACATTATCCTGACACCAGGCTTACCAGTCCTAAACACTAACCTCTTAATGTTGAGCTCCAAGCAAGGCAGCTGCAACTAACATTTTAATAAGTCTTTGTTATGACTCAGCCGGGGATCGAACCGGCGACCTCCCGCATCCAAAGCCGATGCTCTAACCACTTAGACTACGGGAGCGGTCGATATCTGAGGGTAAATGTGAATCGTGTTCCTCACAAGACGATTAATTTCTTTTTCAATGTCGATGAACAATGAAAACAATATATACGGAAGAAGAATCGCCAGATTCTAACATGTCAAATTTTATTGTTGCTAAATATATTAAATGTTAGCAAGTATTTAAGATTAAGTACATTTATAGAACCTACAGTTAAATCATTATGCTCCATTATAAATTGTTTTGATTTTTTACAATTCATCCCATTTTCTCACGTATGAAAAAATATTTACTAAATGAGTCTTTTCTTGAAAGGCAAATACAAAACAGAGCCAAGACAAACAAGCAAACAAAAAAACGTTAAGGAAACAAAACTTTACCTTATTATTTCTACAGGAATGAAGCTTGATATTTTTTGTCTCATCCAGTTCGCTTCAGCGGATTCTGAAAAAAATGCTTAGTACTGATCTAGAAATGGATTAAGCAACATCGCCATCTGTTATTCATGTAAATTTATGAAAGCGCAATTTATATCCTCTATAGTACATTGTTATAGTAGTAATTATAGGCTATTGGGTGACTAATAAGCAAATTTAGAGAATTATTTAAATGAAAACGTGTTGGCTGCAAAAAGCTGATTTTATTTGTGCGTGGCTGTCTTTTTCTAGTCTTCTTGGCTTAAACTGCTCGGTTTCAATATTCTAAGGCGGCGTATCCAGTGAGATTCCTTTTCTTTCCTGGTTTCTGAGCTCCAGTCTAGGTTGTGATCAATTGCAATGCGTTTTATCACTGAAAGTGTGGCCACGGGAGGAGAAATATTTTGCGAGTGGGCTTCTGTACATTTTCTTTGTAAATCAATCAGATTTATGAAGAATGATCCTTTAATATAAATTTTAAGTTTCTTCGACATAATGTAGGCTTCAGATCTGACATGTGATGAGATATATTACATGATCTGGTTTTCATGTTCTTTTTTAAATATGTATGTTCAGTTTTTCGCTAGAAATTATGCTGATCTATATTATCTGTAGACAGGTTTTGCGCCTTTTATCGCTAAAGGAACCAGATTTAGTACGGTGGTCTTGGGTAGTGACTGACCTTAGCTTCGCCCTGACTTAAATGTCGTTGAGGTCTTTTGGTCTCCGATAGGCTACTACGAGTTGTGCTCAAGTTACTTAGATACTAGTTTTGCACTCTTCGTTGTCAATTTATTGCATTAATCTTACTAATTCTCCAACATACAACATACGCGATCCCTTATTGGACACAGTGCACATGAAAGTACCGTTATTCGCCTTATGATTTGTATTATATATATATATATATATATATATATATATATATATATATATATATATATATATATATATATATATATATATATATATATATATATATATATACACACACACACACACACATCACTCCCTCGATAACTCGCGCCCGGATAACTCGCGAACCCGCTTATAACGCGGTGTCAGGCATGGCTCCCGATTTTTTTCCAAAGAAAATATATTTTAAAATGTGTTAAACATGAAAAAAATCGTGATAAGAAATTGTAAATTGGCAAATTTAACCTTGATATATTATAGTTCGTTTTTATCATCGAAAATAGTGATTACCGTATTTTCCGAGGTATAAGTCGCTACTTTTTTCGGTTTTTTTTTTTCTTAAAAATGACGTGTGCGACTTATATGAAGGAGCGACTTATACGATAAATAATTTTTTTAACAACTGTGACTGATGCGCAGTGATGCTATGCTTTAGCGAAATGCATCTGTCGGTATACGGGCAAGCCAATTGCTGGAAACTTACGGTACACGTAAGTATTAGACTATAAGATTATCAAATTAAATAGTCAAATATTATTTAGTTATATATGTGTTAAAATTTGTTGTTATTAATAAATTTAAAAAATATTGAAATAACGATTGCCATTGTATTTCCTTTGTTATTCGGCATGTTCATCTTAGAATCTATCGGTCTCTAAATTTAGTCGTTGTAAATTTCAGCACATTTTCCCACCCAAGCTGTTAGTCAAAGTCCTTTGAACTTGCCGCCCAGCTATTGCGTCATGTTCTTTTGATGTACTCAAATAAATACAGAATGCAGAACTGGGATTCTTTTGTTATTTTAAACAACGAATTATGTCCCTGTAAAGCGTTTCCGAGATCTCTGGTAGCGCTTCATAATTTACTTTAATAGTAGTTTATAAAAACACACCAGCATTTTTCGGTTGGTTTTGCAATGGATTGTTATGAAAACAAACATAACAGGAATATTTCCTCTGATGATTGCTCGTTTTAAACTCTGGATTAAGCCAAGACTGGCTTCGTGGAGAGAACTTCAAAGTACCGGTAATTAATAAAAAAAAAAATAACCGGAAGGCTGGTGAACAGTTTCAATTGTTAGGTGAATTAGCAATGTCTTCGTTAAGGTATTAAAATCACTGTAGCGTATAAAGTGCCTTCGAAGTCCGCTTGGGTTGTGGAAATGACCGATATATAAATACGTACCGTTTATACAATGGAGAATTCATAAAATATAGTTTCACCATAACGTTGTATAATTTAAAATTGTTATATTGGCGTAAGTCAATAAATTTGGTTTTAAATTAAATTCGTGTCATTTATCATGGCACCAAAAACTAGAAAAAATATGATGCAGAATTTAAGTTCAACGTCGTAGCATTTGTGAAAGAAAACGGAAATCGTGCAGCAGAAAGAAAATTCAACGTAAGCGAGAAGATTGTGCGTGACTGGCGTAAAAAAAGAAGACAGGTAAGGTCAACAAAAAAACCCAAGAAGGGAAATCGTAGTGGCAAAGCAAGTTGGCCAGTTCCCGAGGAGAATCTACGAAAATAGATTGTGGAACAGGGTGCTGCAGGTCACGGACTTTCAACAATTCAAATACGACTCAAGGCAAAGTCAAAGTCTATTGTAATACTGACTTTTATATAATTCTTAAACAATTGTATAATATTTCTTACACGAAGTTAGAAATTACCAAGACTTATACGCAGGAGCGACTTATAGGGCGGAAAATACGGTATTGCCTGTAAAGATAGAATCCATATTGTGAAATTTGCATTTATTTAAAATGTGAAGTAATATTTCTCAAACGTGTCACAAACCGCAAGTGTCACAAACCACAAGTGTTATCGTGTTCTAATTTATATTGTTTTAAATTTTTAGAACAATTAAATTCATGTTGGTAATGGTTAAACCTTGTGATTTTTTCTTCCATTTTACTTCTACCGCAATAAAAATCTACACATCGTTCGATCGACATTGTTTATTTCGAAGTATGTCGATCTTTTGTATTTGAAAAAAAAAATGTCTACTTTGGATCAAACAATCACATTAGAATGTATACCATTCACCACAAAAATAAGTGACGTAATACACAACGTGTGAAGTACATGTGCTAAGCAAACGAAAACCAGGAGGAATAATGTTTAGATGATTTCTTCAATATACTGTAAGTTATCCTGAAATTAATGTTACTCTGTGAGGAAAAACTAAACAAAGTACACCAATATGAAAAGATATTTTATCCACTGTTAATCTTAGCGCGATTATTGTACAAATTTTTACATATGTACAAAAAAGTAAAAATAGATGTCGCTTTGGCTTGTAGACTTTTAGGGAATTATACAACGTTTTCAGTTTCCGCATCTAGTCTATACAAGCTGGTTGTATTTATAGTTTTAGCACATGTGAAGACAGCCATGTAGAGGTTTACAAACACAACGTTTTTGTGTTTATTTGTTTATCGTATATATGTTTTGTATTTGCCTTTGAAAAAGACTCATTAAGAGTCGAAAGCGCTTAGGCTAGTTTGTTACTAGTTTCGTACTGTTCGTCGTCAGTTTATTGCATCTATTTTAATTAATCCCTGACACACGTGATCCCTTGGTGGATCCAGTACGATTGAAAGGGTTGTTATTCGCCATATGATTTGTATTCTTTATATATATATATATATATATATATATATATATATATATATATATATATATATATATATAAGCCCATCTCGGTCTATCCCATATGTTTAGTTTTAGCCCTGAGTTGGCAATAAAATTCACTTCAGTTCGACTCTGTTGATATTGATTTTAACTGGAGTTATTTTTGCGCTCTGTCCTCTTTGAGTAATATAGCCAATGGGCATATCCAAGCAGTTTTTCTGGTTGCGCTGTCCATGCGTTCACCGTGAATATGTGTATATATTGTAAATGGTACTTGGGGTCTACTTTGAGCAGACTCCCATGGCGGAAACATGTTTATGGGTTCTTTTCTTCTGATGAAAATAGAAGACAAAGCCAAAAATCGTCAGCACAAAAAATAACTTTATCATGACAGCTAGCAGTTATTAATAATTGTAATTACAATAAGGTTTTGTATATAATATATTCAAACACAACTAAAAATAACATGATGTTAATGTAAAAAAAAAATACAAAGGATTCATAGAATCATTTGGTGAGTATATAGAATCTGATGCAGATGATTTTCTATTTATTCTATGACTTTGAATAGAAGGTGTTTACATCAGAGAATGCCCCTTATTATTTGCACCATAAACTTTACAAATGGTATACTGGCCATGGCCAGGGCAGAAGGTGCAATGAGATATAAGTGAATGTGCACTGAAGGTTTGCCAAACCAAGGTATACGTATAAATTGACTGAGATTATATTGTGCTAAAGTTGCACAATACCACGCAGCAATGGCGCGGTCAAGACATATAAATATACCAATATTTTACTGTAGTGTAACGGGGACTCATTACAGATCACAGAAGATGCAGGTGCTAGACTAATAAGTTGAACGTCCTTCTCAGCAGGTGCACAATCTAAAGTAAATGTTCCATTACCTATTACACCATGGCATGCATTGACTCCAGCCTGGTAAGACACGTAAATATTCTCCAAGCTGCGAAAATATACGAAACTAGGCACTAACCAATCATATAAAAAGAATACATTTTGAAGGCGTACAAACAGTGTGTC